TCCCTGCTGAAAGCAGCAAGTACTGAGACAGAAACTGTTCCTCAGGGTCAAGGAGAGAAATTAATTCTAAGTAATTACCGCCTAAAGGAAGGGGTAACTAACATTCTGTGGGCAGGGGCATCTGAAGGAGTCTTGAAGCTGGAGTGAAATGGAAAGGTACAAACTTCCAGCAGTGAGAAGGGAAAGCACACGGGAAGACCACAGAGGTGGGACACAGCAGAAATGCAAACACAGCAACCGTCTAAGCACGATAAGCCAGTCTCCTTAGAGGTGCCAGGCAGCAGAGGACCAGTTTTCAGAGGCCTTCCAGGCTAGGAGCACCAGTACTTCAGGTACCTGCCTGGTACTTTACGGCCCTGGTTCAGGGACCGTAAAGTCATCACTCAGTGGTTCCTGCTGATACCGCCCCTGACTGCGCACACCACGAGCAGCGGGGAATGTTTCTGGGGACCTGGCTTCAAAGACACCGGTGCGTCACAGAGATCCCTTTAAAGTGTTTCCAGAGACAGCACTCCCAGTGCCTCACCCAGCACGATGTTCCTAGGGAGGTGAACCCTGCAAAGTCCGTGGGCATCACATTGCACAGCCCTCTTCCCCCGGCTTATCTCTTTATGGCTGGAGCCAGTCTTCCTTATCTCAGAAACAAATGGTTTCCCAGGAGCTGAGAGCGCAATCATTCATGTCTGGCACGTGCTTCCCTGTTTGTTTTCCAGCCTTGAGACACGAGTTGTGTCAACGGGAGATGGCTGTGCCCCCGTCACTTGAGAGACATGAATCAATTTCCCAGCTGCATTTATCACTCACGGCTTTAAATCAAGTCTAATCAATGCTTCCTTCGCTTGCCATGGGCTGAAAAACTACAGAACATGCTCAGAAGACAGGTGGCTGTGGTTCTGATCACAAGCTTCCACCTGGGAGTTAGGCGTCAAACCCCGGCCAAACACTCAAGAGCCGTGTTCATGAAACTTAACTTGAATTCACCTGATATGCAATGACAGGATATGACAGGTCATGTTATTTAGGGAGAATTCTACATCATAAAATACTTTTCAATTAACATTTCTGAAAATACGATGTTTTAAATTTGATTTCTATTTCTTTTAGCAGTATCTGTTCTCATCATTATTATATTTCCACTTACTTCTTATAAAATATAACAATAAAAAGGAGTCTGTTTTAAAATAATTTTTTTAAAGATTTATTTATTTATTATGTATACAGAAGAGGGTGCCAGATCTCATTACAGATGGTTGTGAGCCACCATGTGGGTGCTGGGAATTGAACTCAGGACCTCTGGAAGAGCAGTCAGTGTTCTTAACCTCTAGGCCATCTCTCCAGCCCCCTGTTTTAAAATAATTTAATCAACTTTTATAAGTCCCTCCCTCCAGTACGCAGGAACAGAATCTGTTTCCCACAAAGAAAGTGTATTTTCCACTAGCAGGTGTGAAAACCGCCCAGCAGCTGCCAACCAATTCAGCATGTGGTAGGGAGCAGCCCTGTCTCTTTGGTGAATTAATCTTGTGCTGGTGAAAGATGATGCTATCCTGGTTACAGCATCAGAGCCCCACCATGCCCACAGCAAGACCGAACCTTACTCTTCAAGGATAATGGGACAGACAGAACACAGGAAAGCCAGTCGGTGATATGCGAAGGCACAACCCAAGCTACCACTGGGACTTACCAATATAATGAATATTTCTACCTAACCTGCTCAACTGTGCAGACTGATCAGTAGCCTGTTTCTGAATGATGACAGGGCTGGGTCATTTCACGGGGCTGACTCCCCTAGCAACCTGTTGTTTAACTTGGGGAAGTCAAGCAAGAAGGTTGAACTTTCATGCTGGTTTAACACTTCAAGTGTTTTGAACATAAAGTCTCACAGTCCTATAAGATAAGCAACAACAACAACAAAAAAAAAATACAGACAAGTTCTGCATGTTTTTGTCAAAGACACATTGCATATGTGAAGGTAGATGCTTGAGATTCCATCACCTAGCTGGGAAGTGGTGGCACAGGCCTGTAATGTTTGCACTTGGGAGACTGTGGCAGGAAGACAGTAAGTTCCAGGCCAGCTTAGGTTATATAGTAAGACATTGTTGCAAAAACCAAAAACCAAACCCAAGAAACTATCACTTGATGACATTACAGCCACCACAGTTTCTGCAAGAAGATTCCATGATGTTCATACACTGAATGACAAAATAACTCAATGCTGTACTTCTCAAAACACATTGCTAGGTGACCCGTGACTATAATTTCAGTCCTCTTTTCAAGATGAAAGGAAAGGTTTGGAGCTTTGACATAACCCTCCAGGGCAGGTCACCTCTGAGCCAAGGTTCTGGAACTCAATTCCATGTCTTGCCAAACTCAATGAGTCAAATCTCACTGTGTTGTGACTAGAGAGTCAGTGTGGTCTCCTTTCTGTTCTTTCCCTAACTTACTTGTCTTTTCTCCCATCATCCAGCATTCTTGGGAAACCCCTGTGGTTACAGGAGATCTCTAAAGTTGCCTGGCAAGTTGTTTAGCATAGAACCCCAAAAGGCAGCCCCTTTGAGGGGTGTTCTGGGTGGCAGGTGTGGTGCAATAGTGTTCTTAGCCATCTTAAACAAAGGCCAGGTGGAGGGATACATGAGCTTTCAGCCCCGTGGACAAAGGGGGGTGGAAGGGAATGCCACAAACTGAACTCAGGAGTCTGAAGCTGTGGCACTCACGCATGCCATCTCTAATACTCGTGAGGCAGTTCACAGAGCCCCTTGGCTTTAAGAATGGCAGCAGGACCATGTTTGCCTATATTTAAGGAAAGCAGTTTTTCCAAGACAATTCTCACGGAAGTCAATCCTGTCCACACTCCAAGGGACAGGAACTGAAGAAAGGAAGAAAATGTCCATGGCTTTAAACATTTAGACAAGAGGATCTGTTCTACTTGCTGTTAGTGGATCCAAAGCCTTTTCAAAGCAGCCTCAGGTAATGTGCTGCTGAGGAGAAATGCATTGGCAATGGTCACAGAAATTCTGAAGCTCTCCAGGGAGCCTGAGAAAGGCTCCAACACACCCAGACCGCGCTGTCACAGTGTTTAGGAGTTAAAATGCATGTCAAACGGCACCGTCACCCCAACTAACATGTTAATACAACTGGAATTTCTATTAGAAATACAAATCCTTGCTGTCTTTCTAATCCAAAAGAAAGGGGACCATAAAGTCTTGGAATAAAAAGTGCTGAGATGAACGAATGTGTATCAGGTTTCATTTCATTCCTACCCAAAGCAAATCGGTTTATTTCACTTGTTCACTCACTACGTGTCTCTAGAGCACCGAGAATACAGTAGTGGTGTCTAGGAATGACAAGACCTGACCCAGCCCCACTTTCCCAACAAATGACCTGCAAGCTGGGAAATGCACATAACTGTGACCATCCCATTCAAGATGGAGTCACAGGGTGCAGCATCAGAGAAAAACGGGAACATGTATGGAGCCAGGCTTTCTCAAGAAAATGAACATCAGGTGATGGAAGACAGGAAACAGACCAGGTGAGCTCCAAGACCGTCCCACTGTGTGGAGGGATAATCCAAGGGCTTTCCAACCAAGGCAGCTGCTGTCGCCTATGAGGAGAAAGCCCAAGAGCAGGAAAGCATGGTGGTTGGAATCTGAAAGGCTTCCAGCCCTTTGTTTTGAACATTTCCTTCCCAGTTTGTGACAGTGTTCTGATGTCTGGGGAGCTGTCGCAGTGGATCTGGCTGGGGGAAAGCAGGTTGCTAGAGGTGGGTCTTTGCTTTTGGTTCTGATCTGTTTTCTCTGCTTGCCACCATGTGAACAAGCCACCCTCAAAATTTCCCACCTTCACAGATGGAACCATTCCCACGCATCTCTCTCCCACCAAAAAGGTCAGAAATCCTTTGAAATTCGGAGCCAAAATGAATCTTTCCTTCCTTTCCTATTTCTGCCAGGTATTTGGTCACAGCTATGTAAAAAGTAAGGGGTGGGGTGGAGAGGCAGGCAGACGCAGACACAGACAGACTCCTCTCAGGAATACAAACACTGGGCAATACTGGACCCTAGACCAAGCTCTGCCCTAGAACAAATAAATACGGAAGCCAGATCCAAACCAGTACAAGTCACTTAAAGACAGATAAAAAACTATTTGTAGGAGTGCAAACCCAACACCCGGCAAGATATAATCCAGTTTGCCAGCTGATCGAAGATGATAAGGCATATAAAAAGGCAGGAAAACCTGACTCATAATGAGAACTTGTATCCAAACCTTATAAAGAACTCTCAAACTGAAACAAATAAGCCTGTGAAAAGAGGCTCAGCACAATAAATCTGTTATTTTGTTTTTGTTTTTTTGAGACAAGGGTTCTCTGTGTAGCCCTGGCTGTCCTAGGAACTTGCTCTGTAGACCAGGCTAGCCTCAAACTCAGAGATCTGCCTGCCTCTGCCTCCCGAGTGCTGGAATTAAAGGTGTGTGCCGTCACTGCCTGGCTCAGCACAACAAATCTTAAATCAGTAAACAGACCAGAATCAGGTTTCGCCTCCACACCTGTGGGAACGGTAAACACTAAGAGGGCTGGCAAGATGGCTCAGGGCAAGGGTGCTCGATGCCAAGCCTGATGACCCAACTTCCATCTTTGGGATCCACATGGTGGAAGGCAAGAACTGACTCCCGAAAGTTGTTCTCTGACCTCCAATTTCACACACACACACACACACACACACACACGCACACGCACACGCACACGCACACGCACACGCACACGCACACATGCACACTTTTACATAGTAACTAAATAAGCAAATGTAAAAAAGATGAAAATACCAAGTAGCCCTGAGTAATGGAGAAAATGGGAACACTTACTCACCTACTGCTGGTATAAACTGGTTCATCCAAACGGTGAGGGGAAACAATTCCACAAGCTGCTACATGTTAAACATGTACCTACCACACACTCAGCCACGTCACACTGATACTTACCTAGGAGAAAGGAAACATGTGCACATGGAGACTTGTACCCAAATGCTCACACAGCTTTATTAACAGTCAAAACACTGGCAGCAACTCAAATGTCCACCAGTGGGGGAATGGACAAATCCATTCCAAGAACAGGTCTGCACAGTCTGCACACCGAGAAGACAACACAAAAGACTCGGCACACATTAGCACACCTGTCAATCTCACAATAATTATGTGCAGCGAGAAGAGCCCGATCCAAAGTGTGCACCGAATGCTTCGGTTTATGTACAGGGCAGGTAATGCAAGCTACTGGACTACGACACAGCACAGCAGGGGTCGCTCAGGGAACACAGGTGGGTGGCATCTGGCCTGGAGAAGGGGATGTCAAATGTCAAACATCCTGGCTGCAGTGAGCATTTCACCTGGTGTGCTCACCTGTTAGTATTTCTCACAGTGCACACTTCAAATGTGAGTCCTACCAGTCAGCTGTCCCACTACAGTCTGGAACAGTGGTTCTCAACCTGTAGGTCTTGACCCTTTTGGGGGTTAAGTATCAGATATCTGCCATATCAGATATTCATACTGCAATTCATAACAGTAGCAAAATTACAGTTACAAAGTAGCAACAGAATATTTTTTGTCTGGGGGTCACCACAACATGAAGAGGTAAAGAGTCTCAGTATTAGGGTGGTTGAGAACCACTGGTCTAGAACTTTTCTTACTAGAACTATGGTCCTCATTTTAAAATGTTACTTATACCTTGGAAAGAATACTTTAGGGTTTTACTTTTCAAGTTGCAAACCAAAAGAATTAAAGGTTTAAATGTTAGCTCACTGAAAAGCAATGTCCTCTATGGGACAGGAAAAGTACACAATGGAAATCAAATTCCACGGCCATATGAGAGCACAGCTGACCTAGTTCCCCATAATGAGCCAACCCTTGAGTCAATCACGGGGCACCTGTCCCCTCTCCTCTCCATCCTGCATACTGCTGTGGCTCCCAGCATTGACACCAGGAGGTGTGGAAACCTGAAGGATGGTCCTCAGCTCTTCTCCAACCTCCTCTATCAGAGGAGCCCGGGTAGAGGCCAGTGTCTGCCCTTGACTGACTTCACATCCCTGGCTGGCCATGTTTCTGCAGAGCCCACTCTCCTGGGTGAGCAGGGCACTGTCTTCTTCCAAAAGGGGGTCCTGCAGAGGAGTGAGCAGCAAGGGCTGGGTCCCAACAAGCTCCTCGGGCTCTGAAGCTGAGTCTTCTGTGTCAGACGATGAGGTGCTGTCCGAGTCACTGGCCTCGGGACTGGAGCCTGGCACCCGCTGCGTGGGCCCACACTGGGCTGCTTCTCTGGCAGTTTCTTCCTCCTGGACAAGAAGCGCAGCAGTCTCCAGCTCTTCCAGCTCTAACCCCAGCTGGGCCTTACTGAGGGAGACCGCTTTCAAGGCTTCTGCGAGGGCAGCCAACTTTTTGGACCTTGAAAATTATATTAAGAAGAAAAATTAGGTTCTGCTCATTAATCAGACTGGTGACAACAAGATATAAAACATCACAAAGCCGGCACCTTTATGTGACACCAGGGCAAACCCCAAGCAAGTCACAGGTGTGTGTGTGTGTGTGTGTGTGTGTGTGTGTGTGTGTGTGTGTTTGTGTGAAAAAGAGAAGGTGCACAAGCAGTGGAGGATTTTCTATGACTTAGAAGGAGGAAAGCCTTCCTCCACTCACCGGACAGAAGCCATGGGAAGAGAAGCTTGATACCGTCAACTAAGGGAAATGCCATAAGCCATCAACACCAGGTCAGAGAGCTAATGCTCAGGTGGGAGAAATAGGCCCAACTTACATCGCAGACGAGGGCCTAGTCCAGAGGAAGGTTTGGAAATCAGAATGCTAAGACCTAACACTCCAACAGGAAACTGGACAAATGACATCGGCAGATGATGGAGCCTTGGTGTTGCTTACTGTGTAGTTTTTAAATCCACCAGGAATGCAATAGCTGCTAACTAAAAATTCAAACTGGGGCTGGTGAGGGGCTCCGTGAGTAAAGGCACCTGTCACCAAGCCCGATGACTGAGTTCAACCCTGTAGACAAACACTGTAAAGGAGAAGTGACTCCTGCAGGATGTCCTCTGACCTCTACATGTGCTCACACAACAAACAAACAAACAAACAAACAAACAAACAAACAAACATGGCTTCCTTCAGAAGAGCGGATGTGAACAGAGACAGCACTTCCCATGGAGGAGCCGGCATGTGTCTGAGCCCCTTCCTCAGAACAGTCACTGTGTCTGTGAGTTTCCACACCGACACTGTGGAGCAATGTCCAGGGATGGGCAGAGTGAGGAGAAGGGGACGAGAGCCGCCGCCGCAGTGTTGACAGAAGAAAGGCCCAGGGCTTCAGCAGGCAGCTCCAGAGAGCTGGCCGAGGGAGAAGGCCTGCCAAGGTAAAGAGACTCCGGGCAGGCCAGGTGGAGTGAGCTAGTGACCCCGCCGAGGGACAACCTGACGCCTCAGCACTGCGAGGCATCACACCCAGTGCAGATGCGGTGGTGCCACAGCATCCAATGGCGCCTGTCCGCACAGTCACCTCTGCGAATCTTTACTTTTCCGGAAGAAGCATTTTACTTTAAATCCTATGTTCATTTGACCCATCACTAGGACGGCTCTTTTTTAAAGAGGGAAGGGTTTCCTGGAGATTAAACCCATGGCTCTATGCATACTAGGTAAACTCTACCTTACCAATGAGCTACAGTTGCAGCCTTTGTGTTTTGAGAAATGGTCATGTTATATAGCTCAAGGGGGCCTTGAACTTACCTGGCCTCAGATCTACTATCTCCTGCCTCCAGCTCCTGAGTGGGGGATTGTAAGTGCTCAGCTTCCATTTCTCATTGTCTGACTTTCGCTAGCTCAGGCTGGCTGGTGTCCTGCCAGCACTGGAGTTCTAACGGACACTCTCAAGACCACACAAGTGTCATTCTGGATTCCACGCCCTGCCTCCCAATGCAGGGATTAAAAAGTGAATAAAATGTCAAAACAGCATGGACATGTAAGACTTGGAGGAATAAAAATAGGGCTCCCTACTCAATTGTTTCACACAGATCAGAGGAAAAATGGGGACTTTATTTAGGGATAAAAATCAAGTCATGACAGGGCAGCCATTTCGTTCTTTCAAGCACAAGCATAATTAATACTGGTTCTAATTTGCCATTCCTGTAAGTTCTAGAATCCATCTCTATAACAGTGCCACCATTTCAAAAACCAAGCCATCTAAGGATGTTGGTGATTATTTTGTCACATTCAAAGCAGAACTGGCTAGTTCACATCAAAAAAAGCTTTGTCAATGACATTAAATAGCCAGACTCTTACAGGCGCCAGCCATTCTGATATTCTTAGTGAACTTGGCTGCAGTTGTGTGTCTTTTATGTGTAAATGAGGGACATCTCACATGCTCAGAATGCACTCGTTAGCGTGAAGAGAATCAGTACTTAAGAGACTTGCTAAGAGGATCATACTGTTACATAAAGACACGGCCCAAACTAGATTTTCTTAGAAGCTGATACAAATGTAATCCCACCACATAACTGTAAAAATGGTTTATTCTTTGTACAATTGTGACATAACATACCATTTGGAGGATTTAAAAAAATTATAGATTGCTGATGAGTTTTAGTAAATTAACCAGAGTGAAAGTGTAACAGTAACAGCTCTAGGCACACACCACTGGCACAGCTCAACTGGTATCATTCCCCCAATTAGTTTACACTTGGTGACCGAGTTTTGGGGTGCTGGTGTTAAAAAGAACCCACAGCCCATGAAGCAGCCAAAGTGCAGGAAGAGCCTGAGCTGTAAGAGGGGGCGGGCGGGCGGGACTCGGGCACAAATGAAAGCATACATCCGGTTTCTCGTGGTAGAGCTGTGTCGTAAGTGATCAATCAACTTTTCACCACTTCCTGCAACGGCAGGTCTATTGTAAATCTCACAGTAAACAACTAGGTTTCATTTCCTCTGCCCAAACCCAGGCCCGCCTGGCAGGATGTTCTGAGACTGGAGCCAGCACCTGCTAATTCAGGCCAGGCTTCAGTGAGGCAATGTGAGATGTTCCTACTGGATGACAGTCTCCTGGCTAACTCTGTTAGGACACCTCACCTTTTATAGGATTTTGTCCCTTGGCCCCCATTCAATGTCTTAGGTTCAATCTGGAGCTAAACAACACCACTTTTTAAAGGGCTCTAATTCTGCCATGTTAGATTCCTTTCTACTGGAAATTTAGAAACATTTCTAAACCTCAGGGCCCTCTGCCTCAAACACACACACACACACACACACACACACACACACACACACACACACACACACATACTTTACTTTTAAAAACTGTATTTATTTAGTGTATGTGGTGGCGGCGCCGGTGCCCTGGTGTGTACAGAGTTCAGAGGACAGCTTAAGGGAGTTGGTTCTCTCCTTTCAGGGATCGAACTTGGCTGTCACGTATGGTGCTAAAGTGTCTTTATCTGCTGAGCCATCATCTCAGTGGCCCCTGCCCTACACCTATTTTTATAGCCTAATCTAAAGGTAGTACACAGGCTTTCAGTAGAAGTTGCCAGCGAAAGTCCTACCTTGCTTCTGAGAATTCCAGGAAAGACAAATACCCACTGAGGTATGGACACAGACTGGAAGACAGAGCGGAAGTCATTTGCAGCCCTGTCACAAACACTGACATCTGCCCCCTGGAACAAGTAGCTGCTGCTTTATCCCTCAGGGGATGCTGAGCACAAGTTGCTTAAACCGAGTCAGACTGAGCAACGAAGCAACTTCCTGTTCAGTTTCCAACTAGATTTAAGGCAGTCTGTGGCTTGATGAAGAGAAACATCTAGTTCGTGGATTAGCAGTTCTCTGACCGCCCCACTCTGAGCTGCCCAGCACCCATAGGCTAGCGGGTCTGTCATAGTTCTGTGGGTGCAGACTGAAGGTTCCTTCTGAGGGGAGGGTGGCCCCGCTGCTATCCTCAGCTTCCGGCACGGCTGGACATGCTGGAACTCTGGCTTGTAGATGCTATTCCACCCTCAGCCCCCATTATCACTGCTTCTCTGTGTTAACTTCCCACATTCAGGGACTTGAAGGTTGAGGAGATGCAAAGCAGGACTCCTGCAGGACTCACGGATGTCTGTTAAAGGACGGACTCACCAAGAGGTCAGCCCTATAGCATGGTTCTACCTCTCCCTACACCTAGAGTTGAAGTAGCTGGTGTGAGGGCTCCTTTGCTGAATGCTTGAATGCCCCGTGACTTCCACGCCAAGAGCTGCCTTTGGGCAGGACCCCACAGTTCCCAGTGAACAGGGCTCTTCCTCTTCCTTGCTCTTTCAACTGCTTACCAGCTAGTTGTTGTGGCACTAATCCAAAGTCTTTAATGTGTGAGAACGGAAGTAAAACAATTTCAACGTGGGGCTGAGGAGATGGCTCGGTGGGTAAAACTCTCTCTGCATAAACACGAACCCCTGAATCTGGCTTCCTAGGACCCACGTAAAAAGCTGGGTGTGTCAGGAAGCACCTGTAACCCCACAGGAGGAGGCAGACCCAGTCACAGCCTGGGGCTTTGCTGGTTAGCAAGTCTAGACACAACAGAGAGCTAGCTCCAGGTTCGGTGAGGGACCCTGTCTCAAACAGTAAGGCAGAGAACAAGTGAGGAGGACTCCTGAACTCCACCTCCCCTCCACACCCATGCCAGGGTGGGCACACACATTACACACACTTCGGCACTATCAAGTCCTATGAAGACGGCAACTTGACAGATGTCATGAGCTTAGGAAAACTATCATGAGAACTGAGTGAAGCCATAAGCCAGACTCAAACCTTCCTCTACAGACATGATAGGAGCCACTTCTCCAAGGGCCTGGCCAAAAAGAGCTTTCATCTTCTCGGAATGTCATAAAGTATAGGAAGATCTGAAAAATTAACAACAGACCTACACATTCCACACATAGAGTTCTAAGTATACAGCCATATAACAATGGTAAGAATGCTTTAAGTACTTGACTAAGTGTTCTCAGGACAATCTTACAACCATCCGCTCTTTTTGTTTCTTGAAGGCTCTAGTATTTAAAATGATAACGAATGCATAAATGTTGATTACTCATTGTATATGTATATCTGGTACCACAGATTCAAAAGAGGGAGAGGAATAAACATTTAAGGGACATACTCAGACCACGAGGGCAAGCGGCCCTAACAAGGGCTGGACCACACCAAGGGGCCATGCAAAGGGGCAAAGCTCCTTTCTGTATAGGTTACAGAAGGGTCATCTCTTCCTGGGTCCTGTCCTGGGACAGTCTCTGCTCATCCTGATATGCCTCCATTAGTCCATTTAGTCCTCACAGCAGCCCCTGGTGAGCAAGCCTCTCCAGGCTGCCAGTGAGGAAGCTCAGGGACCCATCCAGTGTGGACTGAAGGAGAGGAAAGGGCACCGGGGGCGGGAGGGCCAC